TTTGTTAACACCTCTCCCTTTCCCCCCACCTCCCCCTCTCCCAAGTCCCCCCGGAACTGTTGGTCCCGTTGTTTTCTCCTTCAGATTGTTCATCCAGCCTAAACATTGTCAGCTAGTGAAAACCTCAAACAGAGAGGCAGAACATTGTCAGAGTGCCACACATGAGCCCCTCATGTCAGAAGGTACTCAAAATATGGCTGAGGAAGAGCTGTCTTCTCTAATAAGAGTTCAACATATTGATGTAGAAGAAGTAAAGTTTGTTGGGGAGTAAAGCCTTGTGAGCCTTCATTTGCTGTTGGGGCTTGACTCAAAATGAGAAGTAACAGATACAAACATTCATGAATCATCAGAAGTTGTAATGTATGCAGTAGGATTCTAAAAATTTTGAATATGAAAAAATGAAATCAAACTCACAAAAAAATCAACATTCTAGACAGTAGTGAGCTGAAATTGATGGATACTGGTCTTTTTTAATCCAAAAATCATGGAGTTTACTATGCTGGTAATGAAGTAATAAAGAGGAATGGCATTGCATTCACCTTCAAAAATGGCATTTTAAGATCTGTCTTGAGATACAATGATATATCCAATCATATGATATCCTTCAAGGATATCCGATCAATATAACTATTATTCAAATGTATGCACCAATCACAAAAGCTAGTGATAAAAAAAATTTGAAGCATTCAACCCAGAGCTTCAGTCTGAAATTGATAAAATATGCAATCAAGATGAATTGGTGATTGAAATGCAAAAGTTGGGAACAAAGAGGAAGAAATGGTACTTGGAAACTATGGCCTTGGTGACAGAAATGAAGCTAGGGCTCACATGACAGTTTTGTAAGACCAACGACTTCTTCATTACAGCTGCCTTTTTCCAACAACACAAAAGACAACACAACAAGTCCAACAACACATGGACTTGTCCAAATGGAACACACAAACTCAAACTGACTACATCCGTGGGAAAAGACCAGGGAGAAGCTCGATATTAGCAGCTAAACCAGGCCAGGGACTGACTGTGGAGCAGGCCCTCAATTGCTCGTGTAAGTTCAAGTTGAAGCTGGAGAAAATTAAAGCAAGTCCACAAAAGCCATAATAAGACCTGGAGTCTATCCCACTTAAATTTTGAGAAAATCCCAATAGCAGATGTGATGCATTGAACATTAATGACTGAAAACCTGATGAACTGTGGGAGACTATCAAGAACATCATTCATGAAGAAAGCAAAAGGTCATTAAAAAGACAGAAAGGGGTGGGGGTGGGCAAAGATCCAAGGGGCTGTCAGAAGAGACTCGGAAGCATGCTCTTAATCAGAGTAGCTAAGACAAATGGAAGAAAGGATGAGGTCAAAGAGCTGGACAGAAAACTTCAAAGGGCAACTCTAGAAGAAAAAGTCAAATATTATTATGAAATCAAAAAGGAAGAACATGCTCAGCATATTGGAAACTCAAGAAAAAGTCAAGCCTTGAATTTCAATATTGAAACATTTTATGGGCAAAATATTGAACAATGCAAGAAGCATCCAAAGAATACGGAAACAATACACAGAGTCACTGTAACAAAAAGAAATAGTCAACATTCAACCATTTCAAGGGGTAGTATCTTTAAAAGAATCAATGGTACTAAAGGAAGAATTTCAAGCTGCACTGAAAGCATTAGCAGAAAACAAGACTCCAGGAATTAAAATGTTTCAACAAGCTGAAGAAGCATTGGAAGCACTTAGTCATCTATGCCAGGAAATTTGGAAAACAGCTACTTAGCCAACTGACTGGGAGAGATCCATATTTGTACTCATTCCAAAGAAGAGTGACCAATAGAATGTGAAATTATAGAACAACATCACGGATAACACAGGCAAGTAAAAATTTTGCAGAGTGCAATGGAAAGTGGATTACCTAGCTGCATAGCAAATGTAGCTAGGTAAAAATTTAATACCTTATCATTTGATCTCCCTTTTGGTCCACTCTAAAATTGTTCTAGTTTTTAATATCTTATATTTTCTTTTTGATTGAAGTTTTTATTTTATTTTGCTGTTGTTGTTTCTTTGATTTTGTATATTTTTCAGTCTATGAAATCCAGGGTGGATGAATCCTTACTGACAGTAACTGGATTAATGGTTTCTTGGAAGTATGGCAGGGGAGATTAGGAGAAGATAGGGAGCTAATAGCAAGGAGTCCAAGAGAGAAGAAATTGTTCTAAAATTGATTGTGGTAAGGAGTGTGCAACTCTTCTTGATTGAATTGTATGACATGTGAATTATGTCCACAGTAAAATAGGAGAGCTGTATGGAAGTTCTCTTTTCAAAAAGCAACAATGCTCTCAGTTGGCAGAGCTTTAAAAAGGCTAGCAGAATCCATAAACCAGTAAACCCAGGTGCTGTTGGATCCATTCCAACTCATGGACACCCCATTGGTGTCAGTATAGTACTGTACTCCATAGGGCTTGCTTTCTTTTAAAAAATAAAATAAACCCACAATGTATTGGTATATAATTCACATATCATAAATTCAATAGGTCGATCACATCAAGAAGCGTTCTACAATCAACACCACAATCAGTTCTATAACTCCATAAGGTTTTCAATGATCAATTTTTCAGAAGTAGATTGTGAGGGCTTTCTTGTGAGATGCCTCAGGGTGGACTAGAACCTTCAACCTTGGGGTTAGCAGCTGAGTGTGTTAATCATTAGCATCGCCCAGGGCCTATCAGAATAGACACTCTGGACATCCACATAATGCAAAGAAGAGAGCTTAAAATTCATGGCTGGGAAATGAACTTTATAAGTAGCATTGACCATTCTGTATGATCAAAACAGGTTCAAGACAAGCATAGACACCCTTAGAGAGAGGCAAGAGAAGGTAATGGCAAACTTCAGTTACTCGATCATGAATGCAGTGAGGAAGAAATCTCTCTTATCAGGAGGCAAAAAAAACATTCAAAACTTCATTCTTAACTTTAGACAGGAGCATCCGATTGTAGCATAGACTTTTAAAATGAAAAAGTTATCAAAAGATAGGTGACTTTATATACGCTTTGCAGAAGGAAGCAATTTAAATGGTAAGTTATACTTCTTTTTTAACCATAATAAAGTGTATTGTCCAAGAGGAAACACTGTTGATAAAATTAAAATTCATTTGATTTTATCTACGCCTACAGATAATATGATATGAGTGTTATAAATGACATTTTAAAAATTCAAGTAAAATAAAACTAGAGGTTCCCTCTGATTCTGTGTC